ACACTGGAGCTCAGAGGTTCCGCCGGTGGAACCCTGAAGCTCCGAGGTTCCGCCGGTGGAACACTGGAGCTCAGAGGTTCTGCCGGTGGAACCCTGAAGCTCCGAGGTTCTGCCGGTGGAACCCTGGAGCTCAGTGGTTCCGCCGGTGGAACCCTGAAGCTCCGAAGTTCCGCCGGTGGAACCCTGGAGCTCTGGGGTTCTGCTGGTGGAACCTTTCCTCTGATCTGCTGAGGTTCTGGTCTGAACTCGCCCTCCCTGGTCTTGTGACCCACTGACCGATGTTCTTACGGTTCTGTTCAGGGTAGCGGAGGCTCGGCCGTTATTGACATGGAAAACATGGACGACACATCGGGCTCCAGCTTCGAGGACGTTGGCGAGATGCACCAGAGGATGAAGGAGGAGGAGGAGGTTTCCGAGGAAGCGGCGGCCGCCGAGGACGACGGCGCCGACGATGGAGAGTTCCTGGGGATGAAGGGGATAAAAGGCCAACTGGGTCGACAGGTAGCAGACGAGGTGAGTGAGCCAATCAGATGTGTCTTTATACCGACCAATCAGAGCTGGACCTCATTGTCCCATGGAGACATACTTGTTACCATGGCGATGGCTGTCGGCAGGGTCAGAGAATGAATGGGAGAAAAGGTTAAATGCAACATGGCATTTACCTGGAGCACAGGGAACACACAGCAGCTAAGCCCCGCCCCCTCTCCATCTGCAGGTGTGGCAGGCGGGGAAGAGACAGGCGTCCAAAGCCTTCAACCTGTACGCCAACATAGACATCCTGAGGCCGTACTTTGACGTTGAGCCTTCCCAGGTACGCAGCAGGTAAGAGCTTCACTTCCTGTTTCTGATCAGTCGTTTCCTGTTCTGAGACTGAGAAAGGTGTCTCCTCTCAGGTTGGTGGATTCCATGGTACCTGTGCGCCTGATCACCTTCCCCCAGGTGAGCTCAAGTCCCTGTGCACGATCAGACAGGTAGAAGCGGGGCAAGGTGAGAGACCTCTGACATCACTGTCTCCTCTGCAGAAGGTGGCAGGTGAGCTTTACGGCCCGCTGATGCTCGTCTTCACCCTGGTGGCCATCCTGCTGCACGGCATGAAGACTTCTGGAACCGTCATCGTAAGAACAAACAGACTTAGAGATTTCCTGACTATTGGACGTTTATTTCTAACGCTGAGCCCATAGCTACATCTGGAAGAGAAACAGGACTACACTGGAAAACAGGCCAAGCTCCAACATCTAGAAACAAAGGTGTTGATGGCAGCAGCACAGCTGATATTTTAACAGTTTCTGCAGAGTGGGAGAATAGAGATAAAATGATGAAAAAGGGGTCCCTATGTCCTCCAGCAGTCTAAGCCTATAGCAGCAGAACTATAGAGATAACATAAGGAACAATCAGATCTCTGATATCAGATGGAGCTTGGCCATTTAAGGCTTTCTGCGTTGGTTCCTGTCTGCAGAGGGAGGGAACCCTGATGGGAACCGCCATCGGAACCTGCTTCGGCTACTGGCTGGGTGTCTCCTCCTTCATCTTCTTCCTGGCTTACCTGGTCAATGCCCAGATCACCCTGCTGCAGATGCTCTCCCTGCTGGTGAGTACTGGTTCTGGCCTCTGCTGCGTGTCGCCCTTCAGGACCAGGGTGACATCACTTCCTCTGTGTCGTTGCCAGGGTTACGGTCTGTTCGGCCACTGCGTGGTCCTCCTGGTCACCTACAACATCCACTTCCACTCTCTGTTCTACGGCCTGTGGCTGCTGATCGGGGGACTGTCCACGCTGCGCATGGTAGGACCCGGTTCCCATCAGGACCCGTCAGACCCGTTCGACCCGTCTGACCCGTTCTGTCTGTGTCTTTCAGGTGGCGGTTCTGCTGTCTCGGACTGTGGGTCAAACTCCTCGTCTGCTGCTGTGTGGGACGCTGGCACTGCTGCACATGAGCTTCCTGCTGTACCTGCACTTCAGCTACCACCGGATCGTAGAAGGTCAGAACCTCTTCAGAACAGAACCACTCAGTGTGAATGCTGGGCGATAGGAAGCGTCTAGGGAGGCGCTGATCCGTCTGCTGTCAGGTGTCCAGAACCATGACCCCTATGAGTTCTGATGCAGACCACCTTAGACTGGTCAAGTCTGACTGACAAGGATCGGCATTAGAAGGTCTGAGTGTGTCAAAGACCACCTCCAGGGGTCCAAACGGACCTGTTGATTCAGAACTTTAAAGAAGAACTCGTTGATCAGTTGATCGGGTCCAAATGCCAGGATGGAGGAAGGTCTGTAAGGAAGACGAGGAAGAGCAGCTGCTGCCTTCATCATCCCAAACCTCCCATCACGGTGGAACTGGTTCAGGAACACAGAGCTTCTCTGGATCAGAACTACTGACTGGATCAGGAGGACCTGCAGAACCACAGTGAACAGAACCAAGGTGTTTAGCCGGTCCGCTCTGGTTCCGTCCTTTCCAGTTAAACCAGTACAGACTGGGAACAATGGACAGGAAGTAGCCCTTCAACTGGAGAACAAAGCAGACTCTAATAAGACTATTTCTATGCTGCAGCACCACTAAGAGCCTGGTCTGCAGATGGATATGGGCCAACCTGGAAAATCCTGTAACATGGTGGCATAGCTAGAAAGATTCTGATCGATAAACGGCTAAGCCAATGATGATGAGTGTTTCTCTGTGTGGGCGGAGCCAGATCAAATATTGGAGCTTTAAGGGAGACTTTCAGACTGACTTCCATTGGTTTCTGATGGGGAGCGGAGTAGTAGGGGGGCCTGACCGAGTTAGGATCCTGTTGGGATCGTTCTGAAATGAGGAGCCGGAAAACTTTGAAAACCGGTTTGGGAATCAGAACCGTCTGGAGATCGATAGGAAGGTTCTTCAGGACGACACTCAGCATCTGCTGATAAACTGGATCAATAGATGTCCCACGGTGCCGTCCACATGTCCCTGGCATTAGATGGACACAGTCCCAAAATGTCTGTGTCCTCCTCAGGATAAAACAGGTCAGCGTGGGAGAATGGGAGGTCACTGAGGTCCATCTATGGAATCCTGCTCCTGATGATGGAGGGTCTGTTCTCCACCTGGAGCCAGTTGGGTTTATTGGCTCACTTCCTGTCTGTCAACAGGAAGGGGCCGGTCAGAGGCGGATCTTCCAGGTCTGGGTCTGGTTCTAGGTCTGGTTTTAGGTCTAGATCTGGTACTAGTCTGGTTCACGGTCTGGGTCTAGGGCTGGTTTTAGGTCTAGCTCTGGTTTTAGGTAGGTCTGGTTCTAGATCTTGTCTAGGTCTGTGTTTAGGTCAAGGTCTGGTTCTAGGTCTAGGTGTAGAGCTCTCTTTTTATGGTCTAGGTCCTGGTCTAGGTCTGGTTTTAGGTCTTGGTCTGGTTCTAGTCTGGTTCATGGTCTGGGTCTAGGTCTAGGTTTGATTCTTGTCTGGTTCACGGTCTACGTCTAGATCTGGTTTTAGGTCTAGGTCTGGTTTTTGGTAGGTCTGGTTCTAGGTCTTGACTAGGTCAGGGGTCTGGTGCTAGGTCTAGGTCTGGGTTTAGATCTAGGTCTTGGTCTAGGTCCTGATCTGGGTCTGGTGTTAGGTAGGGCTGGTTCTATCTCTCGGTCTAGGTCTAGTTTCTGGTTCTAGGTCTGATTCTAGGGCTAGGTCTGGTTATAGGTTTGGTCTAGTACTAGGTCAAGATCTGGGTCTAGTCTGGTTCTAGGTTTGGGTCTGGTTATAGGTCTAGCTGTAGATTTGGGTCTAGGTTTAGGTCTAGGGCATAGTCTAGGTCTGGTTTTAGGTAGATCTGGCTCTAGGTCTTGGTCTAGGTCTGTTTTTTGGTCTAAGTCCTGGTCTCGGTCTGGTGTTAGGTAGGTCTGTTTCTATGTGTGGGGTAGGTCTGGTTCGAGGTAAGGATCTGGTTCTAGGTCTGTTTCTAGGGCTAGGTGTGTTTCTAAGTCTGGGTCTATGGTGTCTGGTATATTTCTAGGTCTGGGACTAGGTAGGTGTGGTTCTAGGTCTGGTTTTAGGTCTAGGTCTAGTTTAGTCTAGGTAAATCTGGGTCTAGCATTAGGTCCTGGTATAGGTCTGGTTTTAGGTTTAGATCCTGGTCTGTGTCTGGTTCTAGGTCTAGGTGTAGATCTAGGTCTGAGTTTAGGTCTAAGTCTGGTTCTTCTAAGTCTGGTCTTGTTCTAGACCTGGGTCTGGGTTTAGGTCTGGTTCTAGGTCTTGTTCTAGACCTGGGTCTGGGTTTAGGTCTGGTTTTAGGTCTTAGTCTAGCTCTAGGTCTGGGAGCACCAGTTTGGTGTTGTAGTAGAATCCGTCAATGTGGTTCTGATGTTCTCCTTTCTGCTCTTGCAGGTCTGCTGGACTCTCTGGAAGGACCCGCTCTGGCCCCCATGGGGCGGGTTGCCCGGGACGTGCATGAGGTGACGCTAAACTTGAGCTCCAGTAGCCTGGGGACCCTGCTGAGGGCCCACTGAGGGAGGGGCCTCCCTATGTTCTACAGGAGCTGGTTCAGATCTCCTCTGGATCCATCAGCAGAACCTGGTTCTTGTGTCCAGAGAAGATCACAGCTGTGACCAGGACCTCCTCCTGGACTTTTCTCCTGTCGCCAGTTTACTGGGTCCAGTTGTTATTAGTTACTGTGTTGTGTTTGAGGGCCTGTGGGAAATCTTAGCTTCTCTGTTCACTGACCTTCAATAAAGTTCTGACCTCCCATTGGCTAGTCTTCTCTGGTCCGTGCTGGTGTTGCTCCTGGGTCCGCCTGTGTAGGTCTGGGTTCTGGTGTACCTCTTACAGTCTAGAAGCATCCATGGTACCTGGAGGCGGGTCATCCATCAAGACCTTACTGATGTCAGACAGGAAGTGATGTGCCAGAGCCAGCAGGGGTCGTGGCGTTGGCTTTACTCCACTGGTTTTCCTGCTGTCTCACCTAACGGCTCATTTTTGGGCGTGGTCTGCTAGCTGGCGCTCTGCTTACAGCAAAACCAGCAATATTCAGCTAAGTTTCACATCCTGAGACAATGAATAAAAACCTTCTGCCTGCCAGTCTCTGCACAGGGCACAAAACCCTGAGGCTCCCCCGTCTGCCAACAGGTGGCAGCAGCGGCTTTCAGCCCATCAGGATCAGCTGATCAGTGGAGGATGATGGCGGGAAAAGGTCAGTATTTTCAGTTTAGATTTAGGCTGTGTCTGAATCTCCACCCTAATCACTTTATCCACCATTTTTAATGAGTGTTTGAATGTCTAGAGCACAGGTGTCAAACTGGTTCCAGTGTGGCTGCAGGTTTTCTTTCCAACCAAGCAGACTCCAGTCATCTCATCAAGTCATCATGTTCAGATTGGACTCCCTTGATGAGATGACTGGAGTCTGGTGTGCTATTGCTATTGACCCCCTCCAGGTCTTCTGACCACCTCCAGACAAACAGTGTGATCTCACTGCCACATGGCATCTCTTCTAGAATCTCTATTAATAAAGGCATTAAACAGGGATGTCCTATTTCTCCTTTACTCTTCATCGCTGCAGCAGAGATGTTATCCATCCTTATTAAAAATGCAGATTTTGAGAAACTCAGTGTTTAAGGCAACGAAATCGCCATAACTCAACTAGCCGACGATACGGCTGTATTCATGAAAAACAGCAATCAAATACCAAAAATCCTGCAATCAATAGATTTTTCCTCCAAGGCTTATGAAAAATGAAAAACAGCTTTTGGTTTCATATCCCCTCCAAAATATTTATAGAATTAGGAGGAATTAACTTCCTCCTTAAATGTGATTTTGATCCTAAGAAACTTCCTGTTAAACTTTCTTCTTTTCATCAACGCGTCTAACTTTATTGGGAACTAATATTTAAGCATAATTTTAGTCCTCATATCACCCCACTATGGAGCTCCTGATATGTCCTATTCAGGAACAAGTCTTTATTTAACAAAAGCTGGCTAGAAAGTGGTATATGGTCGATCTAAATTTGAATCTCCTTCTCATCTGGACAAAGAGGATGTTTTGTTTGGAATAGAAATGACAGATAACCTGCAGGACCTAGCCTTTAATGTTTTTACTCATGATGGGGACATTTTTCATTCACAAAAACACGAGGACCAAGCCAAGTTTCAACGTTTTTCTTAAAGAACTTTGTATTTTCATTCACTTAAATTTATGAAGAAGAAAAATAGTATAAAATTCTACGCTTTTGTAAATGACCGTAAACTCAATGTAAACCCCTAGCTATTATTATTTTATGTTTATTTTATTTATTTGTTTATTTCCCTTTTTTTATTTTTATTTTTTTATTTATTACCTTCTATGTCTCGTTTTTCTTAAAGTTTTAATGTCACCAACTGTTCTATATCTGTGCTTGATGTTTGATTTATTCTGAAATGTTACACGGAATTGCCAATAAAGCATAAGAAAAGAGTTTGGTGGGGAAATAAAATAGAGAATAAAGTCTGTTTGTAGGAAATGTCAGAAAGAAAGATAATAAGAATTCTGCAAAAGGAAACAGAGTATAATGATTTAGAAACACTTTGATTCATTTTACAGTTTTCATTTTTTAACTGCTTTACTTCATATTATCGGAAGTTTATGGATTTAATTTTTTCTTAGTCTGCCCCCTGCTGGTCGGTGGCGGTAAAGCTCTGTCGGCCGACCGACATTAAAATCTACAAGAAGAAGAAGAAGAAGAGCTGTGCGCGGGAAGCTTCCGGAAGTAGCGGATTCCTCGGCTGGATCTGCGCCTCAGACCCAGACAGCAGCAGGTCCAGGATGAAGATCTATTTCTGCGGCAGCATCCGCGGCGGCAGGTCGGACCAGCAGCTCTACCAAAGAATCGTGCAGGAGCTGCAGAAATACGGGAGCGTGCTTACCGAGCACGTGTCGAGCCCCGAGCTCAGCGACGAAGGTGGCACGCGCACACGCACTAAATGGTTTATTAATGAACCAATTCAACATTGATCCGTTTATTAATGAACTTACTCATTGATTTGTTTATTAATGAACCAATTCAACATTGATCCGTTTATTAATGAACTTACTCATTGATTTGTTTAT